ACCCTGGATCTTGGTGTTATCAGCACCATGCTCTAACCAACTGAGCTAACTGGCCAGCCCCGAAGACAAGTCTTAAAGAAGATTTTATTATGAAAAACCTCAAACATACTGTGTTAATTTCCTATTGCTGCTGTAACCAATTACCATTACCTTGGTGGCTTAAATAATACTCGTTTATTACCACACAGTTCTGGAGGTCTAAAGTGAGACTCACTGGGATGAAATCAAGGTGGTGCAGGGCCACGTCCTGAGGCTCTCATGGAGGCTCCATTTCCTTGCTGTTTCTGGTATCTGGAGGCTGCCTGCTTAGGCTCTGGCTCCTTCCTCTGTCTTCAAAGCCAGCAATGGCGAGTCGAGTCCCTCACACATGGCATCACTCTGATCTGTTCTTCTTCTCTCTCCCACTTTGAAGGATGCTTGTGATTACTTTGGACTCACCTGGATAATCCAGGACAATCTCCCTATTTTAAGGTCAGCTGATTAACAAATTCATTCCATCTACAGCCTAAGTTACCCTTTGCTGTGTAAGGTAGTGTATTCATTAGTTCTGGGGGTCAGGACAAGGACATCTTTGGGGGACTATTATTCTGCCTACACACGTATATGTAAAAGTATAAACAGGATAGTACATGTTTCCCCACACACCCATCACTCAGCTTCAACCACACACCTTCATCCCACTCCCCACCCCCCACTGGATTATTTGAAACAAATCTTAGAAATCATCCTGTCCATCTGTGCATGTTTCAGAATAGACGGTTGTTTAAAGAAGTTCAGCTCTGAAGGGAAGTGAGAAAGAGGTAACTGGGGGAGATGTATGGGGAAGAGAGAGAGAGAGAGAGAGTGTGTGTGTGTGTGTGTGTTTGATATGGGAGATGCTGAAGCATGTTTAAATTCTGATGGCAAGGATCTGTTAGAAGGGGAGGGATTGGCCTTGGACAAGAGAGACATCTCCATCGTTAACAAGAGAGGGGTACTTAGGCTTGTGCGTAGGAAGTTAAGGAGTTCCTGTCTCCTGGTTAAATTCTTTTTTTCCTGTTCAGTGGGAGGGATAAAGAGGATGTTGAAGTTTTGGGAACCTTGGGGAAAGTTGAAAATAGTCATTGTGGAGCGGAGAATGAATTTGCTAGAGGAATGTTGGAATGTGGGATGTGTTGAGGGTCACTTGAATTTGGTGAATTCTAGAAAATCTCAGCTTGGTTGTTTGACTTTTTTTCCCAGTAGCATTGCACATTTGTCTGGGTGTATGTTCAGAGAAGGTGTATAATTCGGTTCATCCTAGGTTGGTTTTTTTGCCAGATGGTATGGCCAAAGGAGAGGGTAAAGAGTATCTAGAAGAGCAATTGAAATCACAATCCATGCTCTCAGGAAGTAAAGGAGTGACCATTCTAATGGGGTTTAAGAGTGGCTGTGGGGGGATGCTGACAGAGGCCAGCAGGCAGAGCTGAGCTTGTGGGGGCTGTGGGTGGCTGGAGCTGAGGATTTCAGGGTGGCACCAGGTCCAGGGTATGAATTTGGGAGTGGGTAGCTAAAGTGGAGCAGAATAAAAATCAGTCGGAAAATAGGATGTGGAGGTGCTGAAAGAACAGGGTTTGGGGTGGCTCATCCACAGGGATGTCGAAACCATCTAGGGAGATGGGAATGGTTGAGCTGTATAGGTAGGTCTTCCATGGATGAGGGGGTCAGCCAAGATGAGGAGAAAGGAAGGGGTTTGTACCATGGTAAGAGGAATGGGCTTCGGAAAGGTGCATGTGTAATGGTCTGGAAGCAGCACCAAGGATCACTTCTCCTCCTGACCCTTCCCAACCCTCATGTGTGTTGTGCAAGAGAATAAGCAAGCTCCACCTGAAGGGTGGCCAGGAAGCACTGGCTCAGGGAAGAGCCGGGTCTCAGTGAAGACCCGACTCACTTTCTTCTTTCGCTGTGCTGCGTGGGACTCCCACACACTGCCTGAGTGGTCCCTGCCTCCTGAGGATTTCTCTTGAACACTGCCCCCTGGGTCACTGCCTTTAGTGTGAGTCATCCCCTTGCTCCCCCATTCCCAAGTAGGAAAATATTATGATAGGTAGAAAAAAAGCAGACTCGGCTAATAATTTCCAAATAGCAAAAATCATGGATTAACTTGAATATATTGCTACCTTATAAAGAAAGATTTAATAAGATCTATCTTCATGTGTTATACTTTTACATCTTGACATTCCTCCTGGGCTCTAAGCCATATTTCTAATTTTGTTTGAGAAATGGCTATGGGTGTATTTAATATGCATTACATACATTGATTTATGATTGAGATATGTAACTTTACTGAAGATTTTTAGTGATTTTTGTCTATACCATAAAATCCTGACATAATTTGATGTGTTATTTCAAAAATTTAATCTTGTATGTGGGGTCACATTATTGTGAAATGCAGTGACCACCCCTCCCACCACCCCCTTACACACTCTACATATATTTCAATATATTGAAACCATGATACACACAAATAACCATTGAACAAAGTCTCAGATTGATGGAACAGTATAAAGGACCAGTGGAAACAGGAAGTTATGTTAAGGGGATACAGTTTGACATTTCTGCTGTAGTTCTGTTTTGCTTAGAGTTGGGTTATTTTGCATTTAATGTTTGCATGATGATAAGTGACCATTTTGACTGGTTCTCAGCCTTTTTTGGCCATTTCTTCCTTTGAGAGGAGAGTCAAGAATAAGTAGCAGTAGCAGATTTTTTTTTTTTTTTGTAAAACATAAGTCTTTTTCTTTGTAAAATACCTACTTTTCAAGTCTTTGACTTTCTGTGAGCTGTGAATCTTGTATGACAGTCTGAGAATGTGAGAAGGCTATAGAATGATGACAGAACTGTGGTAGAAGTGGAGCCTGATTCTGCCCGCTTCTCAATCTGTTTACCTTATTGGACTGAACTTTGTTACTTTTCCTAATTCCCGCAGACTCATCCAGGCCTTGGGGAATAATAATAATTAATTGGCCGTGACTTATCCTTAGTGGGGCTCAGTAAATGGATAGCATTTGGTTAAGAGCGTAGAGTCCCAAGTCTGACTCCTGGGTTCAAATCCTAGCTCTACTGATTACTAACTGTAGACCTTGGGCAGATTTTTTAACCCTTCTCAGTCTTAAGTTCCCTGTCTTTTAAATGGGGATAATAATAGTACTTAGTTCATAGGATTGTTGTGAAAATAAGTAGCACAGTTCCTGGCACCTGGTAAGAGTGCCCAGTAGCTGTTATTATCATCATGTTGAAATGTCACATGGCTTACCAATTTGATGCATCTGGGAATTGTTAGGTTTTAAATTGTGGTGTTTTTTTTTTTTATTACTCACAATATTCTCTGGACATTTGCCTTCTTGGTAAGACCTTCCCTGCTCAGTGGATTTAAAGGTACAGCTGTCCACTCCCTACGCTTGCATGCCTCTCCACCCCTGCTCCTTGTCTCTATTTCTGTTCCCTGTATTTTTCTCCATTGCACTATCCCCTTCTAATATACTGTCCAGTATACTTGCTTTTTGTTCCAGGCTGTCTTCATTTACTAAAATGTGGACTCCATGAGAACAGGCATCTGTGTATGTTCTGTTTACTGTTCTTTTGTTGGTACCTCAGACCTAGAGAATAGCATCTGGCTTTGTGAGTGCACAGTAAATCTTTATCAGAATGAAGAAATTGACTTTGAAAGTGGTAATAGAAGTCTATACGCCATCAAATATTATCAAAACTGCTGCAGCTGTCTGAAATAACGATTTTAAAAACATTATTCAGAAGTTGTCAGCAATTATTTGCTCATTTGCCTAACTCAAACCTCTTCCTAATAGAAGATATTGAAGCTAGGTATGAGGGTATGAATCAATCGGATGCAGAGTGGAATAGGGCTGATATTATTAAATAACCTACTAGTGTACTTCTGACACCTTTTTTTTCAGCATGAACATCAGCAAACACCTTGTCGACCAGGGGATGTGCTTGTCTCAATAGTGGACTCTCTTAAGTATCATGTTATTTTCTTGTCTATTTTATATGCAACAGATCTTTTGCTGTTTGTCTCTTTTAGGGCACCAATGCCTCTGCTCTGGAAAAAGACATTGGTCCAGAGCAGTTTCCAATCAATGAACACTACTTTGGATTGGTCAATGTAAGTATTTAATATGTATTATTTTAATCAAAATTAATATTAATATTGTTTAATTTAATTATAATTATAATTAATATTGTTAGTATTTGAAGCAACTCTGCTGCCATCTTCATCATTACCAATTTTTAAATAATTGTTCATACTCATTAGTTAGTAGAAGTGACAAATGTTGGGGAGGGAGCAATTTAATCTATTTTTGAAGGTATGAGTTGTCCCAGAAAAAGGATTTAATTACTGTATTACTGGGTCAAAATCACATTTTTCTCCCTATGCTTTAAGGGATTTCCTTTGCACACATAACTTTCATAGTGATTTTGTTGCCCTTGTACCCAAATCTGCTTTTATATGCTCTCCTTTTATTGCCTGGTTGAGCTCTTCAGGCAATCTTTGTTTCAGTTTGCATTCCGTATGCGGTTACCAGTTCATCACCAGTAACTGTTTAACAATATAACTTGATACGTAAAGCAGGCTGGGTTTTAGGGGGAAAGCCGGGACCAGTTTATCTTGGAATTACTTGGCCTTATTTTCCTTGTGTTCAGCCAGAGTCCCTTGTATATGGCTAGGCTTAGCACGCTCTGCTTCCTTGATAAGTTGATGATAACCAAGTAAGAAGGTGGTATTACCCCCACTCTCATGAGGTTTCTTCTTCACCTGATCCTTTTTCTCTGGAGTGCAAGTTTTAAGTGACATGTGTTAATTCATAAACACCTGGTTTTCTGGAACAATTCCTCTGAGCATAGTCTGTTAGTGCTCAGGTGTGGTAAGTGGTAATTTCCACTGGGGAAGCTGGAAGTATTCTCTGCAAGTGAGTGCTGCCTGTGATATAATGGAAAAGACACTGTTTTCAATGTAACACAGACCTAGGTTTGAATTCTGCCTATGCTCCTCACTGGCTGTGTGATCTTGGCATGTTACTTGCCCTCCCTGAGCCTTCATTTCCCTATCTGTAAAATGAGGATCATAATGGTTTCTGCTTTTTGGGTAATAGGGAAGGATAAATGAGAGTGCCTATTTAAGACCCTGACAAGAGGCTGAAGCCCACTGTGGACACTTGGTAAACGATAGTTCCTTTTCTTTCCCAGGAGTTGTCCACTGGATCAGGGCCAAGCCCTGTGAAAGGGCATCTGGGCAAAGGTGGGATACTGAGTAGAAGAGAAAAGAATGGGAGGAGGAAAGCTAAGTACCAGAATATAGGGCATTGTGTTGGTAAAATACTGACTTCTGTAATTTTAATGCAAACTTCTTAGCCGTTGTGTATAGACCTCTGCTTAGCTCTATGAGGACAGTTATTCAAGTCATGGGAATTCTGCCCTGGCTAAGGAAAACACAAATGCAGATTGTGGAGGAAAAAAGAAGGCCATTTTCTAGTTTGTGGAAAAATTGTGAGATCTCTGTTTATTAATAGCTTCATATATGTTCACTTCACATGGTAATTTATGAAAGCTCCAGCTTCTCTGTAAAAAGAGGTTTGTCTCCTGTTACGTAATTATGTCAAAGTAGATTACAGTATAAAAATAGGAAGTGTGCTATCTTAGCGTACGTGGAAGTGCCATGTTAAGTATGGCAGAGCATCTGTCTGGCTCTTGGGTGAATGACACACAAGCCAACAACCAATTGTGAGGAGGTGTTCACATCCTATTTTAATCCTTCATGGCATTTTGTAATCTGTGTTATTGATCTTGTTATTTCCTTAGAATTTTTTCATTTTACTGTGTGTATCACTCTAAAGTGATACTGTCAGCTGTGTTCTCCCACAGAGTTGGTCTTACAGTCAGTTGAAAAGCAGTGAGATGAAGATTTTTCCCCACTGGAATCATGATCACAGTATCCGTGATTTGTGAGAGGCATGAGATATTACTGTGTGGGCCCTAATCTGATTGCAGGAGACCAGGAACTTAGGTGGTATTGGATTGGGACAGTTGCCACCTTGGCAGAAATAAGATGAAGGGTAGTTAGAAGTTGAGAGGCTGGGAAACTGAGAGGGTGACTTCAGGGTGCCCCCTCTTGCCTCTGTTGTTCTGGAGTAGGTGAGGAAATGTGCTCTGAGCGGATGCGCGGGGCCACAGGAATCTGGAAAGATGAAAATGAAAATAAGCCCCCGTTCAGTGAAGGCTGTTTCAGCTAAGCAAGTGGTTTCTAGTTCCCAGATTTCTTTTCGATTTGGATGTTTATTTTCCTCGTCATGGGAGTTTTGATGTGTTGCAATGTGGCATCTTTATTTAGCCAGCTGCTTTTCTGGGTCTCCATATTATGAAAAATTTTTTTTTCTTCTCCTTTAATGAGACCCTTTGGTAGGGTCTCATTAAACTTTTTATTGAAGCAGAGTGCTTATTACCACTTTTATGGGCTAGAAAAGCACCAACGTTACGTAAATTTTTTTTCATTGATAGGTAGTTGCTGGTGTTTAGAATAGTTAGCTAGTTTTCTAATATGGCAAGCTGGCCTCCAGTATGGGGAAACTTGGTCCAGTTCATGGAGGATGGCCATCTCTCTCTCACCAGCTGTCCAGAGGTGGCTTGTCTCTGGACACTGACTCGAGCCACCCCTGTTGTCCTTTGGCAGTTTGGAAACACATGCTACTGTAACTCCGTGCTTCAGGCATTGTATTTCTGCCGGCCATTCCGGGAGAATGTGCTGGCATACAAGGCCCAGCAAAAAAAGAAGGAAAACCTGCTGACATGCCTGGCAGACCTCTTCCACAGCATTGCCACACAGAAGAAGAAGGTTGGCGTCATCCCACCAAAGAAGTTCATTTCAAGGCTGAGAAAAGAGAACGGTGAGTAGTGAGGAACGTCATGTGTTTAAGGCTCTGAAATAAGGACGATTGACGGTTCTGTGTGGCCTCAAAATGAAGAGTTGTCATCTTTAAAAAGGGGATATTTCTTCTTCTCTACCCAGTGCACATAAAATAAAACTGGATTAGAAATATGCTTAAAAATGAAGATTTATCATCCCATTTTAGAATGATCTTTTTATTTGCTCCATTTTGGGTGGGGTCATTGTAAGAAAAAAGTAATGTCCAAGCCAGTCTTCTGAGTGGGATACTCATGGAGTAAATAGATTGATATAATAATTGAACAAAGTAGTACTGTCTTAGAAACTTGTCATAAATGGTTATAGTAAATGCACATTATCTAATTAGAGCCTCTGCTGTTTTAAAAATAATACCTCTGATTTTTATTTGCAGAAGACAGTTGAAGTATATCAAATTGGTATCTTTATATGATAAAAATATCCTGATTTTTCTGGTTTTTCCATTTCTGTTTTTGGGGGAAGTGGTGGTAGAAACTAGGTGTATATTCCAGAAGCTTTGTGTTGGTAATTTTTATGACTGTAGAAATGTTTGCTATGGCGGGCCGACCCGGTGGCGCACTGGATGGTGCGCCGCTTGGGAAGCGCGGCGGCGCTCCTGTCCGAGGGTTCGGATCCCACATACAGACCGGCTCCCGCTCACTGGCTGAGCGAGGCGCGGGAGCAACACCGAGGCTTGCGGTCCCGTTGCCGGTCCCCGGTCCGGTGCGGGGGCAACACTGAGGGTTGCGATCCGTTGCCGGACACGGAAAAAAAGACAAAAGACAAAAAAAAAAAAAAAAAAAAAAATGTTTGCTATGGCAACTTGTATTTATGCTAGATTCAGACTTGTTCCAGCAGACTTGCACGGTTAATCAGTTTTTTGCTTTATGAAGTCTCGTTTAATTTGATTGCTGTCTTTTGAAGTTGTTATAGTTTATATATACCAGAGAAAAAGTAAAATTTGAGTAGAGAAGGAAGCAGAGCACCCTCAGTCTAGTTGTGAGCATGATTAATAAGGAAGTTTCGCAGCTGCATTTGTCTCTTGATTATTTGTCCTGATGGCAAGGAACAGCAATAGGCTTCTGGAATCATGTGTATTTGGTTTCAGAATATCATCAGATAGATACATCAGACAGATACAAGCTCCCATATGTTCCTCATTTCCCTTATGTGTTTCATTGAAGCTGCTTCCCGGCTGGTCCAGGGTTTAATATGATCTGCGGGAAGAGACCCCAGTTGCTCTGGATAAATTATCCAGTGAATAATTGATCACTGGTGGTCACATCATATTAAAAATTGATATTTTATCAGGGAACTTATAAGGTAATTTCAGTTCTTTTGCAGAACAAAAAAGTTTTGGTTGTTTTTATATGTATGACTTTAGGGAGATATGGGAAATTAGACCTTGATAGGTGGCAGAAAATGGAAAAGAACAAAAATTCTTTTGGAACTTACCCATTGAAGCTGCATAGTAGAGATGAATATATTTATATTCCATACCTGTCCACCCTTTCAATATAAAAATTGAAGTATGGCATGTAAAACTAAGCATGCCCATTTGCTTTTCAAGAGCCCAAGATTGAAATAATGATTTTCTCCTTTCCAGATCTCTTTGATAACTACATGCAACAGGATGCTCACGAATTTTTAAATTATTTGCTAAACACTATTGCGGACATCCTGCAGGAAGAGAAGAAACAGGAAAAGCAAAATGGAAAATTAAAAAATGGCAACATGAATGAAACTGCAGAGAATAATAAACCAGAACTCACCTGGGTCCACGAGATTTTTCAGGGAACGCTCACCAATGAAACTCGATGCTTGAACTGTGAAACTGTGAGTATTAAGGGAGCTCTCAAATAACTTGCTTATGCATGTTTATATAAGCTGTGTTGTCTGTGCATGCAGCGTGGTATTATAGCACTTAGCAGTTGCTTTCAATATATACGGATAGTCCTATTTATGCAAATGAAACTCAACTGCAAAGTTTTGGAAGCATGTATTCATCCAAGATGTCTCAGCTGGCTAAAGTAGACTGATGAGGGCAAATGTGAAATTTTAGGGTCCACAGATTGAACTGTACCTTGACCAGTTATCTTGAAAAGAGTTTGGTCATGAGGAGGTCATATGTGACTTAGAATATACCATTGCTCCAACTTAATGGGAGTCAGCTGTGGTATGTTGAACTTGAAGTTGGAAGACAGGCTTGATTCCTGTTTCTACATCAGTTAGTCGGGTATTTGGATTGAGTCACTTACAGTGCTGTTTCAAGGGTCGGGTGAGCTTATGGCTTTGGATGGGTCTGGCATAGGTAGGCAATTATGTTAATTGAATTTGAAGATGTTCTCCAGAGTATGATTCAGGATGTCGTATTTGCTTGTTATATTTAATTTGAATTCTGTGCACGGCTTCATCTTTTGCTAGTTAAAAGCCCAGCTCTGGAGCCTTGCTGCCTGAGTTTATATGCTGGCTTTGCCACTCAGTAGCTATGGGACTTTGTGCAAATTATTCATGTTCTCCATCTTCACTCTCCTCATCTATATAATGGGGATGATGAGAGTGCCCATCACATAGGATTTCTGGAAGGATTAAATGAGTTAACACTTGTAAAATACTTAGAACTCTGCTTGGCGCATAGCAAGTGTGCAATAAATGTCAGCTATTATTTATTTTAACTACTAACAACATAAAAGATCCATGGGTTCATTAGAGGTCTTAGAATTTCTTGATATTATATGAAAAATTCTGTAGGATGATGCATTTTTCTGGAGAGAGAGAGACAGAAGCTTTGATTAGATTCTGCAAAGGGTCTGTGTCTTAGTCTGGTCAGACTGCTATAACATAATACCATAATTGGTGGCATAAGCAACAGAGATTTATTTCTCAGTTCTGGAGGCTGGAAGTCCAAGATTGGGGTGCCGACAGGGTCAGGTTCTTGGTGAGGACTCTCCTCCTGACTTGCAGATTGTACCTTCTTGCTGTGTCCTCACATGGTAGAGAGAGGAAGCAAGCTCTCATGTCTCTTTTTACAAGGCCACTAATCCCATCATAAGGGCTCCACCTTCATGATCTAAGTACCTCCCAAAGGTCCCATCTCCACGTACTGTCACATTAGGGATTTGGGCTTCAACATATACATTGTATGAGGATACAAACATTCAGTCCATTGCAGGCTGTGACCCAGAAATGGTTAAGAAATGTGGCTTTACACATCAACATCTGTCTGTGTAAGGGAGGCAGCTTTTAGTTTTTTGGCAATCTTCTGACCTTTTAAATAATTTTTGAATCAACATTCTGATTTGCTCATTGTAGAAGCAATTAGAAAACATAGCTAAGCAAAAGGAAACTAAAAATTACCAGTAATCATCCCACCCACAGAGGATAAATTTGTAACACTTTCTAAAAATTGTGATCACATCAGTTCAGAGATAACCACTTGAACATTTTAAAATATATCCTGCCAAAACATTCTCTGCACGTACTTATCTATTTAGAGGTCTTCCCTCTCTCTCTCTTTTCTTTTCTGTCTTTCTCTCTCTGTCGTTTTATACTTCACATTCTAGTAAAATCCAAGTGAATGCAGAAGTAGAGCGAATAGTGTACTAAATATCACATGTGTATTATTGGGATCAGTGATTGTGAACACTTAGGCCATCTCTCCTCTCTCCTTCCACACTCTCTCCCCCATCATCAGACTGGTTTATTTTTAAGCAAATACCAGATAACATTTTATTTGTGAGTTCTTCAATACTTTGTTATATATCTCTAAAAGGTAAGAAGTTTTTTTTTAAAATACAATACCATTTTCACACCTAAAAATAATTCCTTTAAATCATTACTCATGCAGTGTTTTAAGTTTCTCTGATTATATCACATTTTTCTCAGCAGTTGGTTAAATCAAATCAGGATCCAAACATGGCCCACATATTGCATTTGGTCAATGTGTATCCTAATCTATAGTTTACCCTCAGAGGGACCTCCCCACCTCCCTTTTTATCCTTGCAATTTATTTGTTGAAGAAATCAGGTTGTTTGTCCTGTTGAATTTCCCACCTTCTGGAAGCATCTGTTTAGCACATATAATAAAATGGCAATATGTCTCTACCATCCTACTCTTTGTTTTTATTTATTTATTCCTCCTATTTCATATTTTTTCTCTTACCTTCTTTTGGATCAATGAAGTATTTTTCTTTTTTTTTTGTCATCTATTATATTGCTGGTTCTAAATTATTTTAAAGGTTACCCTAGAGATTACAGCATGCATCCTTGACTTAGTTCATTTTTTTAACCACTTCTCCAACAATGCTAGAACCTTTAATACACTTTATTTTCTTCTTTCTCTTGTGTTACTATTTCGTGATGAGCTCATGAATTTTAACATATTTCATGTGTTTTAATCCATTACAGGTTTTTATTCTTTTTGATACTCAATTTATTTTCAGAATAACTTTATGTACTCTTAAACATCAAAATTAGGGCTATGTTGTAAATATTGTGACTTGCAGATTTGCATTCTTTTATTTTCCTTTTAATAAGTGCATGCTACTTGGCACCGTCCTCCCCTTACCTTTCGAATCTCTGCTGTCACCAGGTCCTGTCTGCTGTATCTCTCTTTAATCCAGCTACTTCACTTGGTCCCCACTTCCTTCACCCTAGCTCAGGCCACCCATCCACTCTGGGCTGGCTATCTCAACTGAACTACTGCAGTAACTTCCCGCTGGATGCTCCCCTTTTTCTCTTGCCCCCTCTTCATGGAATTCTTCTACCTTTTCATTTAGAATACCACTGCCCACAAGTTCTATGCAGTCTGGCTCTTCTACCTCTGCAGGGTCATCCCTCGCTATTCTCTTTTTCACTTTGCCTAAATTTAGTGTAGCTCTTCAAGCCTTTTACACTCTTTCATGCCTCAGGTCCTTTGTACATGCTGTTTCCTATCTAGAGGGTACACTACCTGCCCCTTTGCTTGATTCAGTTCTCTTCAGATTTCAACCTGTGTTAAATCCTGAGAGAGGCCTTCTCTGAGCCCCCAGCCTTGTGAAGTCTCCTTGTATTCTCACAGCATTCTACATTTCTGTGATAGCTCTTAGCTGTATTTATGTATTTATCTGTATATATTTTTCATTCAGTATCTATCTTCCTTACTAAACTATAAGGTTGATGAGGACAAGGATAGGTCTGTTTTTGCTTCTCTCTCTGGTGCTCAAACAGTATTGGCACATAATAATTACTCAATAAATATTCAAGTAAAAGAATAAATGAAAATGTTTATCTTGTTTCTTAAAGTGGAAAACTGTCATGGAAAAGATTTTGACTTATTTAATGAGCTGGAATTGAGGAGCGATTTATAGTAAAGCCTATTCTAAACTAGTAGTCCTGAAATTATTTTTTAAATTAGGAAATATATCATTTTTGTAAAAAAGTGTGTGTGTGTGTATACATATGTACATACATACATATGGGCTATATATATATTTTAAAGAATTGTTAAAGAAATACTCACATACCCTACACCTAGATAAAGAAATGGAACATTATCACCAACCTGAAACGCTCTGTGTGTTTCTTTTCTATTTGATTTTCCTCTCAATCTCACCCTTTACCCCATAGGTAACCACTATTGTCAATCTTGTGAATCAGTACTTGTTTTTCTTTGTAATTTTGCACACATATGCATGTGTATTTTTAGACTTTTATTTAGTTCTGCATGTTAATGGCTTTTATATAGATGGAATTTTATACATGTGTTCTTCTAAACTTGCTGTTGTCATTAAATGTTATGTTTTTGAGATTCAGCTATTTCTTTGTGTGTAGCAAATATACCACAGTTTATTTTTCCATTCTTCTATGATGTGTCTAGTTTTTGACTTTGGAGACAATGCTGCTATGAAACTTCTTATACAAGTCTTCTGGTGTATATGGGTAGAAGTCTTTCTGGGGTATCCCTTTGGGAGTGGAATTGCTGTGTCTTAGGTCATGAACATCTTCAGATTTACTAGGTAATGCCAGATTATTTCTAATGTGGTGGTAAGTTACATTAATAGATTTTCTTTTTTAAAAAAAAAAAATGACCGGTAAGGGGATCTTAACCCTTGACTTGGTGTTGTCAGCACCATGCTCAGCCAGTGAGTGAGCCAACCAGCCATCCCTATATAGGATCCGAACCCGTGGCCTTGGTGTTATCAGCACCACACTCTCCCTAGTGATCCAGCCACGGGCCGGCCCAACATTAAGAGATTTTCTGATGTTGACCTTACCTTGTATCTCTGTAATAAACTGAACTTGGTCTTTATCTTTTAAATTCATTGTTGGATTTTGAGATTTAAAATTTTGTTCAGGATTTTTGCAACTATATTATTAGGGAGATTGGCCTGAACTTTTCCTTTCTCTTATTGTACTTATCTGTTTTTGGAATCACCATTCTTGCACAAAATAATTTCTCTCTTTTCTTTAGAAAAGTTTGTATACGTTTTGATCTATCTGTTCTTTGAATGTTTGATAAACATATAGTTCAGTTTGGCATGTTTTTGATATTTATATGAATAGAATCATGGAATATGTATTCTTTTGTGTCCTGTTTTCTTTTGCTCAGTATCCCTTGTGAGATTCATTTGTGTTGTTGCATGATGCTTTCGTTCATCCATTTTCATTGCCATATAATATTCTATTGCATGAATATACCACAATTTATTAATCCATTTTACTGTTGATGGATATTTGGTTGCTTCCAATTTTTGGCAATTTTGAACATTGCTGCTGTGAACATTTTAATACATATACTCTAGTGCATATATACCCAGTTTCTCTAGGGCATATACATGAGAATAGATTTGTTAGGTC